AGTTAGTAGCACTACACTGGCTGAGGGCAGAATGCCATTGACCGTCTTCCTACAGAGCTGTCCATACCTCTAGATGGCTGAGAACACTTTAGCCTGTGTGGCAATCTTAGATCAGACTCACAGCATCTAGTGTTGTGGACTCTGCTGCCAGGCATGGGGGTAGGAGAAGTTACACATGTGCACCATTTCATAAAGCAGGACCTCCAGGTCCTTGCCTGCAAAACAAGGCATCAATTTCCCCCTGTCTGCCATGCCCTGGCCAAATGTCAGGAACTAAGCATAGCAGCTCTGGACTAACAATCCTATTTGGATGCACAACAGGCTTTTTAAGGTGTGCCAGAGCAAGGGATGCCAGTAAATTCCAGGATATCCAATAAGTGGCAACTCATTCTTGGAATGACACATGGTAAGATAGAGCTGGAATCAGATGTGAGGGATGCCCTAGGGACAGGCTTGGCAGTTAATGAGGAAAGTTGGCAAGAATACGACAAGAAAATTCATCAGGCCTCGTGGCAGAAACCCCTTTAGAAAACCTGATGTTTATCAGCCCATTCAGTTCATCGATTCAGACCATAATCCTAGCCTTGTTCACGTACAGCCTGACATAGTGCCTGGCAGTCAGGCAGATAGACTGGATCCAGAATCTCACTGTGTGGTGCAACCACCAAAACACCAGACAAAAGGACTCCAACCCCACGCCCTAACGCTCCCCATTTGCTGTTTCTCAACCCACTGGGACCTGTCCAGAATCCAGGATATTTTGGAACATTGCAAGCAAAACATCCAGATTCTCTGCAGCCACGTTTAAGAACATAGTATGCAGGCCATCGGGTCCAAGGGGCTTGTCAGCCTTAAGCCCCATTAGTATTATCATTAGGTTTTCTCTACTGACAGTTTTAAGTGATGCCTATTGATTTTTTGCTAACCATGGGATGGGTTTTGTGTCTTTTACTGCTGTGAAAATGGATACAAAACACTTATTCAAGCTTCTGTCATTTCCTCATTTCCCATTTAAATTCACCTTCACACTTTAAAGGACAACGTTCACTTCAGCTACATTTTGAACTATTAATATTCTTATGGAACCCCTGACAATGTGGCTTGAGATTTGAGATTTTAGATTTCGATTTATTGTCACGTGTGTAAAAATACAGTGAAAAGTGTTTTTTCATGTGCAAAACTCAAAGTGTCACCATGCCCCAGTGCCATCTTAAAACACTGAATATAATGCAAGATTTTACTGCAATAGAGCTCATCTTTCCCTCTTCTTCTTTTTACCCTCCACTAATCCTTCATTCACTTTGTATTTCTTGCTAGTTTTCTTTCATAAACCAAATTTTCCCCCTTTATAACTTTTTAATTAACCTTTGCTAGTTTTGAACATATTCTAAATCTTCTGTCTTACCACTAATGTTAACCGCATTGTATAACTCTTCTTTGAATTTGATATCACCAGCAATGTCCTTAGTTAGGCATGGATGATGCACCCTCTTGGTGGAATCTTGCTTCCTCAGTGGAATATATTTTTGATGGGAGTTATGAAATAGCTCCTCAAATGTCTGCCGTTGCTTCTCTATCATCTTCCCTTGGACATATTTGTCCAGTCTGCTTTAACTAACTCGGTCTTCATGTCCTTGCAAATGGCTTTATTTAAGTTTAATACAGTAGTTACGGATCCACAGTTTTCATATTCAATCAGAGTGTAAAATTCGATGACCCTTTACTGTGAGATCTTTAACCATGAATAATTACACATTACCAGGTCTGAAATAATCTGACCCTTGGGTGGGTTCTGGAACAAGGATTTTCCTAAGAAACTGTTTCACATATTCTCTATGAACTGATCGTCCTGACTACCTTTGCTAATTTGATGTGTCTAATTAATATGAAGATTAAAGTTACCCATAATTGTTGCAGTGCCTCTTTTGCAAGTACTGAATTTATGAACTAACTCTGGACTGGTGAGGTCAGGCCTCCAGGCTGTGCAACTGTATCCACAAGAGATTTGAAATTTCTGGGTTTACTGCTACATGAGCATGGGCTAGGGATTCTCTGCATCCCAAAGCTCTTTAGCAATGACTGTCTGAATGTTAGTTGCTACTTCCATCAAAAGACCTGTACCCCAATTGTTATTCCAGAGTATAAGATGAACATAAATTCTTCAGTCTAAAATAATTTTTCTGAGAGATGCAAACCGCCCAAGATAGGAAATAGAATTGCCAAAATTCAAGTAAGTTCAAATTAGCCTTGGACTGAATACATACACTTGTTGTGTAATAAAGTCTCTAATTCTTTAAATTGTACAAACTAATTTAGCCTAAATTAGATTGGAGTTGGCATTAAAGTGAATTCGGCTGTTTAGTTTCTGTAGTTGCTATCTTTCAGCAGGCTTCATCTAAAGCATTCAAATAAAAGTGCAGCCTAACTAAAAACCAGGTGAAACTGGATTCTCATTAACTGACTCAAATAAGCCATTTGAGTTGAGAGCATAAAAAAATAGCCAATTCAGTGCAGCTTATCAGTTGAGTGCAAGTTACAAATGTGCTGGAGTTGCATGTCTGAAGAGGTTCAGGTTCAGGTTCAGGTTTAGGTTCAGGTTCAGGTTCAGGTTCAGGTTCTTTGGCTAAAGAAAGCAGATGATTGGTGAGTATTTCTAGTTTAAGTCAAAGTAGGATTTTTTTTGTGTTCAGATATCCTTTCTTCTTTTCTTAAACATAGTATTTTAAATATAATTGTGATACTGGTGGTTTGAAAAGTGCAATAAAGTGTAAAATGTGGAGATTTTACAAGTGTAAAGAGCAGGAATGCAAGCATGATTAATGATTTAAATAAAAGATGCCAACGTGGGTGATGTGTTGTAGCTGCCTTCTCTTGTCCTGAACACACTCCCTCTCTATTTTGTTTAAAGCTCTCTCAATAGCCCTGATTATTTGATTCCCTAGGACACTAGTCCCAATGTTTTAAGTGAAGCTGGCCCACCAGAATAAATCCCTTCTACCCCAATACTGATACCAGTACCCTGTGAAATGAAACTTATTCCCCAACATCAATCTTATTGACTTGATTTACTCGATGTTAGTTTGCTTATGTCTCAAGGAGTAATCTGGAGATTACTACCTTGGAAGTTTTGTTGTTTAATTTAGCTCCTAACTTGTTAATTTTAGAAAAAAACCCACTTTCTGGTCCTATCAATGTTGTTGGTACCAATGTGTATGACGATAACTACATCCCTCCCCATCCTCAATTTACTTCCCAGTCCTGATGCACAAGGCAGGCCATACAGCCTTCAGGACTCAGCTGGTCGCAGCTGTAGAGAACAGTATCTATGCTTTTAATGATACTGTCCCCTACATCCTTCCTGCCCCACTTCCACATGGTCAGTTTGCTAATCCTACCTGCAGTCTGTATTCTCATCCACACAACTTGCAAGAACTTTATAACTGTTGGAGAGTTGTAGGGGCCCAGGCTCCTCGAGAGCCAGCACTTGTGTTCAACGACCTCACTCACCTGCAGCCTCACCTTCCTGAAACTTGATCTTTGATCAAGGACAATGACCTAATCTAAGGATGTGAGTGCCTCCTGAACAGAAGAGTTCAGGTAACTTCCACTCTTCTTGATTTGGAACAATGTTCGCAGCTCACACTCCAGCTCCTCAGCTTGGATCTAAAGTTGCTTAAGCTGCAAATTCTTCAAACAGATCAGTTCACTCTGGATCCCTTTGTATTGAGCAACTCCCACAAGCTTTAGGCTCCCAAAGCAAAAGGATATGGCAGCATGGCAGGGCAACAAATTAAATAACAATACCCAGATTGGGACAGGAAGGCACAAAGTGCACAATTATTGAAAAAAAAAGCAGTAAGTTGAATCAAAGGGGGAAAATAAGAGGAAAAATAGCAAAATGATTTAACTGGAAAGAGACTGCAGAAAGTTGCAGTACAAAAAGATTTGGGAGGCCATGTACATGAATCACAACAAGCTAACATCCATGTTCAGCAGGTAATGGGGAAGGCAAATGGAATGTTGGTCTTCACACCAAAAGTTGGGTATAAAAATAGGGAAGTCCTATTAAAACTAAATAAGACACCAGTTAGACTGGAATACTATGAACTGTTTTGGTCTCCTTACCTAAGGAAAGATTTGCTAATATTGGAGACAGCTCAGCAATGGATCAGCAATGGTTTTGGGTATGGAGGGCTTTTCTTATGAGGACAGGTTGAGGAAGATGGGCCTGTACTCATTGGAGGTGACCCTATAGAAACATAAAAAGATTCTTAGGGGGCTTAACAGCATAGGTATGGAGAAGTTGTTCCCCTGGTGGCGAGTTAGGACCAGTGGGCATAATCTCAGAGTAAGTGGTTACCAATTTAAGATGAGGATGTGAAGGAATTTCTTCTCTGAAAGCAGAGTCTGTGGAATGCTTTATTGCTGTTGTGCTAGGTTGTAAAGTATATTCAAGACTGAGGTGGACAATTTTTATTTCAATCAGAACGGGAAACCCCAATGATGGGGGAAAGGCAGGAAATTGGAGTTGAGGATTATCGGAGCAGCCACGATGTCATTGAATAGTGAAGCAGACTTGATTGGCCAAATAGCTTTCTTCTACTTCCTCGTCTTACTACTTACTCCTGTTACTACTTACTTCTGTTATGAGATAAGCAGTAATGCCTGCTCTTTTTAGAAAGCAAGCTGAATAGTGGAGCTTATCCTTGCGGCTAACCTTTTTTTATCGAAGGACAAATATTTGATGCTGACTCCATGCTGTGATTCAAAAAAGAAATCACACTCGGAGATAATATCCATCATCTTGATAAGTGTAAAAATGTTGCCGAAGAATAGACTTTTTTTTTCTAAAATGTTGTTGGTGGCAAAATTATACACAAAATTGAAAAGTGAATTCATAAGTATTTTTGTTCAGTTAAAATAAATCTTGTCACTCTTTTAACGTAGTAAATAATTCAACACCTGAGCAGAATTTCACCTTATTTCTTTTCTCCCTGCAGCTCCTTAAGACTGGAAGGAAAAATTCACATTTCGAAGATACATCAGCTATTTTTGGATTGGTCAGTGCTGCACTGTGACTTCAGCAAATAAGGCTCCCAAACTACGACAAACAAAACAAAGGAGTTGACCCTATGGATTCACAGCATCATTAATGTCAGTGAGACCTGGACCGGATCTTTTCCAGCAGTCTCTATAACAGGCAAAAGTTTAACCTGAGCAATTGTTCCAGTCTGCAGTTCAATTTGCTTCTAAATCGCAGTGAAAGCCTGAAGTAAATCTCCGACTTTTGTTTACTCCCTGTTTTTCTTCACTCCTGAAATATTTATGTGAAGCAATGCTTAAAGAGATCAGCCTTCATATAATCAGTCGTGAAAGCTTTATTCTTGCAATTTGTCATAAAACTAATCCAGTGTTCTCTTCCCTACATAAAAAATAAAGTAAAATAAAATCACTAACACGTGTGAGAAATTAAATGAAATCCTACAAGGGGAAGATGATAAATTTCTTGTGCCACGTGGAACCAAGGATATGTTTACATGTCAGTGAAATGAATTCTACATGTTGAGAACCATTGAGAAGTGGCAGAAGCTTTTACTGTTCACAGGGAAAAGTAATGTCTCCTGTTCTGTGCTCATTCTTTAAGCCATAGCAAATGAAAGCATCAAATGCTGATGGCGATTGTGGCATTCCTTCCCTTGTCATCATATCAGGTGATAATTCCAGGACACAAAGCTATTGCCGATGCTCAGAAACTGCATCTCAGTGCTCTTCTAATATTTGCACTGTCACTTTCATTCAGGGTAATGATGTGTGGAGTTACTTGCACAGATGGCCTCTTGAGATCTGCAACAAGGATGCAGAATCTGGCTGGGCTTTACCAACTAAAGAATATGATTTGCACTTCTCTTCAATTCCAGTGGGTGGAATCTATATAAAAAATTAAATTGTCTTTCATTTCCTTTCCAACCTTATGAAATGAAGTCTCATAGCTGCACAGTGGACAATAGAACAAATGTTATCTCCCCTCACATTATAAATCAGATTTTATATAATACATGAAACATTGGACAATAAAGGAGAACAATTCATACAGGACTTGACAGACATTGACTATGCTGTGGATTTAAAAACAATGCATTAATTTGTCACAATAATATGAAATGCATTTGTTATGTTAAATGGGATCTGCAGGATTTATAAATTTAATGGAACTTGGATTCAGAAAGAATGCACAGATATTGACAAGTAAAGCACTTTAGTTACATTTTTAAGTTTTGTATTTTTATAAGTCACCATTATCAACCCTTGTTTGGCTGTCATTTGAAGACTTCAATGTTACTCATCATGCTTATGTTTGTATGTTATTATTTGCAAGCAGGTGAAATTTTTTTGTTTTACTTTTAAACAAATAAAACCTAAGAAAGTAATGTATAGATTTTAAATAGAAGGCTTCAAGATATATTTCTTCTACTCATGGAAAATGCAAACAATGTATTTTGTAATTTTAGAGTTTTAAAATTGAAAGAGGTTATTTTATTATTAAAGGCCTGGTATATGATATTAGTTAGACAGCAAGTAACAGAAAGAAAACTTTTCATATTCTTACCTAAATCAAAACTGCTTGTCGTAAAAAAGCAACAGGAAAAAAAAAGTTTAAAAAAAATCAATTCTTCATGTAAATGTTCAGATTCACAGTTCTCTCTAGGTTGCTGCATACACATTTTCCTGTGTTAATCAAAAAATAATCCAACATTAAATAGTTTTCAACAAACTGGTCTCAAGTGCATGTTTGTGAATTTACTCCTTTTAGAGATATAAAATATTTTGCATGTTGTGAGATTTTTTCTGCACTTCAATTCAAGCCATGAAATACTTCTGTATTTGCTATTACAGAATCACTACACCATAATAACAAATTGCATGACGGAATTTAAAATAAAAGAAAAGGTTTGACCTGGTGACATTTATTTTATAAATGTAACAGTGGGAAATTTTGCACCTTTCATCTTTTGGAGTCATAGAGTCATAGAGACCTGAAGAGCATAAAAAGGCCCTTCATCCCATTGAGGCTATGCTAGTTAAAAACAGCCACTTAATTATTCTAATCCCACTTTCACCATTTGGCCCATTCCCCATTCACAAATGTAAATCTAAATATTTCTTAAATGTTAAGACAGTTTCTATCTCTATCATCCTTACAAGCTGCAAGTTCCAGATTCCCATCACCCTCTGGGTGAAAGAATTTTTTTTCCCTTGCAGCCCTTCTAAACCATCTGACCTTTAACTTAAATTGATGCCCCAGGTTACTGATCTCTCCACCCAGGGGAAACATTCCTTCCCATCTACCCTGTCTATGGCCCTCATAATTTTATACATCACAACCATGTCTCCCCTCAGTCTGCTCTACTGCAATTGAAACAACACTGGTGTATCTAATCTCTCTTCATAGCTAAAGATTTCCTGTCTAGGCAAAATCCTGGTAAATCTCTACACCCTCTCCATTATAATCACATCCCTCCTATAATGTGGATTCCAGAACTGCACACAATACCCTTGCTGTGGCCTAATCAACATTTTATACAGTTCCAGCATCACTTCCCCGATCTTAAACCCTATGCCCATTATTTTACTTTTACCCAATATTGCACCAGGCCATTTTTTCAGGTATGTTTGTCAGTTGCCTAAAACTGGTATTAGACTCCATCTGTATGAGAACAATGGCCTAACGTCTGTTTTAGATCCTTTCCAGGAAATTTGACAGCACAGAGTGGAAAAAGAATCAAATCTGTGCTGTTCTGAATTCTTAAGGTCATTACAACAAATGAAATAACCACCTCCAAAAAGAGAGGTGTTACTTCGCACAATTCCGCAGTAGTTGCAAGTATAGGCAATTCTCCCACCTCTTCCTGCACCACCAAACTCCCATTGCCGCTCTCTCTTCTGTCTGGACGTAACTAAAAGATGCTATTGTTGAGGTAAGCAACTCAAAATTCAACCATGTGAAATGAATGTGTTGTTTGTGAAGGTGTAATACATGTTGACATTTCATTCAAATAATGCATTGAACCCAAGATCAATTTTAAACCATCCACAAGCCTCCCAGTTATTTAACACATTGCCATTAGTAAATTGTCCCAAAATGGGCCAGAATTAATCTTAATGGCAAAATAGAATAAAGGTTGTGCACCCATGGGTAAGATTTCTACTGTGTATTATTTGTGTAACAAAATCGTAATCTTGTTTATCAAGATTACATTTAAGATTTTATTGCACAAATTGCATAAATAGATTTTACCCCAGATACAGGATTATTATTTTGTAAATATTTTAATTTGGCTGAATCACTAAGAAATGAAAGTGCCCATCCATTAGGATAACATTACATTGCTCATTCTATAGCTGATAAAAATTTCCATGGCATTATCACAATAGCAAAATTGGCTTCTATAGTTGGTATTAACCTATCAGAGTAGTTGGTTTTTGTATTTTTCTAACATGCAAGAGTCAGATTTCTCTCAGTATAGTGGCTCTGGTAGTCTACTGATCAAAACATTAAGCTTCAATGAGATGTATATATTACGTACTGTAAAAAGTTTTTTTTCACTGTTTGAATCAGAAATAGATCTTCTGAATATCCACATTTCAAAGATGTCAAAGCCACTATTTCATAAAAGCTAAATATTCAATTCTAACATTTAGTTAGAAGCATGTTCTTTGTTTTCATACCTACATTTTAAATGGGCAACACCTTATTTTTTAAAAATGGCCCCTAATTCGAGATTCTCCAACAAGAGGGGACATCTTTTCAACAACCACCTGGTGAAACCCTCTCAGGCCTTTCTTTTAAAATTATATTTTCTAATCTATCTGCTCAGAGATGATATTATACATTTCTGGAGCAGATGTGACTGAAACCAGGTCTCTTGGCTGAGAGGCAGGGATGCTACCACTGTGCCACAGAAATCTTTTTCTTATACATTTCAATTAAGTCACTTCTGATTCCTCTAAATTCTGGAGGATACAGGCCTAGCCTGTCTGGCCTTTCTTCATAAGGCACTCCACTCATTCTGGATATATAGTCTAGTCAATCTTATTTGAACAGCTTCCAATGCATTAGCATCCTTTCATAAGTAAAATAACCAGTACTATACATTGTACTCTAGATACAGTCTCACCAACACCCTGTATGGCTGCAACATAGTTTCCCTACTCTTGTATTCAATTCCCCTCATGATTAAAAAAAAAGTTATATTAACTTTCCTGATTACTTGCTGGTTTTGCATATTAAACTTCTACTATTCATACACTAGGACATCCAGATCTTTCTGTAACTTAAGAGCTGTACGTTCTCTCACTATTTAGACAACTTGCTCCTTTTTTTAATCCTTTCTGCCAAAATGGACAATTTCACTTCTCCACATTGCATTCCATTTGCCAGATCTTTGTCCATTCACATAGGCTGTCTATATACTTTGGTATAGTCCTTATGTCCTCTTCACATCTCAACCAAATGGCTACATCTCCAAGTCTAAGGGGAGTTGTCCTCAGTCAAGTCAATGGGGATAACTCATCAATCAGGGTAACAATCACAGTTAGTCAAGAACAGCATCCAATCTCAGTCTGGAGGTTGGACACAGTCAGTCAGCCACTAGAAGTTTTCAGGGTCAGGGTTTCCATGTCACTGTAATCTAGGGAGTGGGCTACACCCAAACCTGCTGGTCCAGTGCAACCAGTCTGGGGGTTCAAGATAAGTTAGTTGGGGAACTTCACAGGGATTAGTTGGAGATCAGGTCGCTCATATGTCGGAGCTGTTCATCCAAGCCAGTCAAGAGATGGGCCATAGTCAGTCCTGGAGGTCTTCTCAATGAAAGTCAATGGAGATTATCAGAGGCCATTGCTGTGTTTGGGAAGCTGTGTAACTAAATTATGGGAATTGGAGGCAGAACACTGGAATACAGAGGTGACAATAATTGTGAAGGAAGGCAACTCAGCATGTGAGGATGGGGAGTGATAGTGCATTGGAAACATGGGTATATGGAATATGAGATGGTGAGTTGGGGTACGGGAATAGGGCAGCATGGTGGATGGTGTGGCTATGCTGCTGAGGAGGGAACATTGAGAGATGAAGACATAAATGAAAGAGTTGGGCAGGTATATGTAAAAGCTCAGGTCTCACGGGCTTGACAGGGAATGCAAGGAAGAATGGAATGAGAAGGTTGAGGGGTGGGCCTTTGGTCAGTGAGTTAGTCCTAAGACTCAATCTGCCAAGTACAACCTGCATGGCTTTCCATACCCGTGCAACTCATAAATGCATGTTGGAAAAAGCAAATAGCAAGATCCGCACACAGAGTGGGCAGAGGAGATATTCTTTTCACTGCCTGAGTTCACAGGCTATAGTTGCAAGCAGCATGAGGTATTTCAAGGGGCAACTGTATCAACCATACAGTCCATCTTGAAGACATTTGTAATCACAGTATCCTGATATGCATGCAACTATGTACAATTCAAATCCTGCTCACATTGGTCATTACAGATCAATAATAGACATCTCTGTGAAGCAGAAGTAATCATAGGCGACCTTATATGTCTCACTGCTGGTCACAATTCACAGAGACAATCCAAGATCTCATAAGTTGCACAAGGGCACAGAGCTGATTTCCTCTCACCATGAACTGTAAGTATTTACCAAGATGCTCTGATATACTATAATATATCATTAATTAATGTCCTTTAGGGAAGGAAACTGCCATCCTTATCTGGTCTGGCCTACATGTGACTTTAGACTCACAGCAATGTGGTTGACTCTAAACTGCCCTCTGGGCAGTTAGGGAGGAGCAACAAATGCTGCCTGGTCAGCGACACCTTCATCCCATGAATGAATAAAGTATACTATGCTGCTTCTCTTGGGTGATGTGAGGGGTGAAGGGTAATGGATATAAAGTGGCAATTATATAGCACTTACAATCTCTTACTGGATTTCCATTTCATTGTGTGTGCTTCATTCATTAGAATAAGGTCCCGATGTCAAAAATCCATGAAAAGGCATTTCATGGCCTTCTATCTCGAAGTCCTCCTTGTCCTGCTATATGGAGGAATTTGCTAAATCATAATTTGTGAGTGATGCAAATTCTGACTGTTCCCATTATTAAGAACCTGTTCTGTTTCTGATATTCCCAACATAGGTTCATTGGAACTGTGACCAATGGATCCAACTGCAGCAGGGTTCATCATCACTGTGGCCATGGTGCTACAAAGTTGGACACAAATTCGAGAGGAACAGATGTGCGATCAACCCCAGGGTCAGCAGCAAGCTCCAGTCTCCACGTGAAGACGTCCCAGACGTTTGGAGGTTCCCCTCAGAACACAAAGGTGGATCAGGAGGCCAACAACCTATCTCCCTAAATGCCATTTCCTCTGGATGACCACAGTGCTACGTCCGCACAGAAGGAGGAAATCTGCTGACAAAAAAGATTACATGAGGGTAAGGTTTTTGAAGTCAGTCATTATTTATTCACAGGATGAGGGTGTCACTGAGCAGACAGTATATATTGCCCATCCCTCAGTTCAGAGTCAACCACTTTGCTGTGGGTCTGGACCAGGTAAAGGTGGCAGCTTCCTTCCCTAAAGGACATTAGTGAACCAGATGGGTTTTTCCCCAACAATTGACAATGGGTTCATGGTCATCGTTATATTCTTAATGCCACATT